GCATTCTGGGTAAAGCACCACAAATGGCTGCCCAATGCTCCGGGTGTGTGTTCACGGTGTGTGTGTGTTCACTGCTGTGTGTGTGCACTTTGGATGGGATAAATGCACAGCACTAATTCCGAGTATGGGTCACCATACTTGGCCACATGTCACTCACTTCACTAAATATTATTACAATTTAAATTTTTTGTTTTAATATATTTAAAATTTAATTTATTCTTTTGATGACTAAGCTGAATTTTCAGCAGCCATTATTCAGCACCCAAAGTTGAAAAAGTTGTGCTGCCTAATATTTTTTTTTGTGTTTATGTTAATAAACATATGTTTAATTATCTGTGGTATGGTGGAAAATACCTTCTTATACCTTGTGTTTTCAACTCAGGCCGTGTTTGGTGTTCTGAGGGTTATGGAAGGCCTTCAGGCATTTGATGATATGATGGAAAATACCCAGGTGAAGAACTGGTACCGACGTGTGCAGAAGGCCACACAAGGAGTGTCATAAAATCAAAGCTTCTGTCATCGCTGCACCAACTTGAAGCACTTGATACCACAGCACATCTTTAAAAAACAAACTTGATGCCATCTAATGGTAGTCTACTGGTTTTGCAAATCTTAAAAGACTTAACTTTTGTCCAGCAATTGAACTGGCTTTGCTTGGACCGTAACCATGGAGCTAAGAATTTAATTAGAAGAGATAAAAGAAAAAAAAACATGCCCAAATACCATAGAATGCCCCCCCCCATGATTTGTTTTACTACTAAACGGAATTTATGTATTTCTCTCATAGTGTTTTCTTTTACTTTGTGAAGCAAAGCGCAACCTGAACCAAATGCTATTTAAAGTAAAACAACCTCATATAATCTGTAGAGATTGTGAATGGGTTTTAGGATTGTTCTGAAATCATCCAATTTTTTCCCATCTTTGTGAACTAGCTTGAAGCTTGAAATCAGGTTATCTACAAATTTATAATCTAGTGATTTAGTCTTTTTTCAACAAATGAATTATTTATTTTTTACACCAGTTACTGTTTCTTGTTGTTTTGAATTTTTTTTTGTTCCTTTTGTAATATTGAAGTGCTGCCGCCCTCATCATGTGGTGTTCAGGTTATGAGCTCAGCCCTGATAGATCATGTAGATGCTTACATCTACCTCAGTTTTTTGGCTTACTGTTCTCTGTTCATAAATGTCCAATCTGAGGCTTGAAGCTGTGGTTTACTGAATGTTCATATTAATGTGTTTCATCCTTGGGTTCTCAAGGGGTTTAACTTAAAATGTGATCTTACTGAGTAATGGTTATGTGAAAGTTGCTTTGGACATTTGGAGCGTCCAGTTAACGAATAACTTTTGCCTATGCATCATCTTTTGATGACAAAAGTGATAAATATTTGTCAATGAAATAAATTAAAAATCTCAAGCAGATGGTTGTCAGCTGGTTAGTCTGTCATGCATTTTTCGAAATGAAGCTAACGCATGTCAGGTAAGACACTCCTACAAATTAAAATACACACTGTTCATTCTAATGGCACCACATCAGACTGTGTATAAAATGGCAAGTTATGAGAAAATTTCATGGACAGGCTAAAAACTGAGGTGCCGGTACATGGTAACGCGTCGTTGGCATAGAAACCCAATAAGCTTCCGTTCAAGTTCATTGGGCGTTAAACACTCCTCAATTCTTTGTCGCTTAAGTTTCGAACCAGCCAATCAGATTCAAATCAGAACGTTGAAGGCGGGACTTAGAGCGTCAGACGCGTCTCCGATTGGCGGCTATTGTCCATGCGAAAGTCTACCGGGTCTTGCAAACAACATTACACAGGGGACGCAACGTTGCATACTTGTATTAAGGTTAGTGGTATTTTTATTCATATCGCATTAATCGTTTAAAGTACATAAAATTTCATCGATCAGGATTATTTAACTGACCGTATAAATATGATGTGAATAAACAGAGAAAAGGATTAGTAAAACAAACACAGACTTGACTGAGGACAAATAGTCTTTGTTTAAAAGATATAAGCTAACGTTACATGCATGATTAATAACACTTCTGTTTTATTTTTCTTTCACTTTTATGATACACTTCTTGTGAACTTTTTCATATTCTTAAGACAAATAAAGATCGCCCAACTGAATCAAAGGGATGAAAACACGGTCGTCTTCTCCACCCGTCCATGTTCATGTCTCAGACTCAACATCTGTGCATGTCCACCTAAAGAAGAGTCCACAGAAAAGCCAGGTCAGAATAGATGCCATTTACCATTCCAATTTATACGGATAGTTCACCTTCAGTTGCTGGTCCCCATTGACTTGCATAGTATGGAGAGAAAAAAAACACTTTGATGGGGATCAGCAACTGAAGGTGAACTATCCCTTTAAATCAACCTCGTTTGATTTACTGAGACCGTGAAATCACTCATCACAACTCTTATGTTCAGCAGGGTAAAGTGAGCAATTTACGATCAACTGCTAGTGTAAAGGTCCGAGCTCCCTGGGTTCCTCCTGGAAAGGCATCAAGACGAAGAGAATACAAATGGGAGGTTTGTTTACTCCTATTCTCCCTTATTAACCAGCACAAGTAATTTATAAGGAGTCATTTTTTTTTATTGTGACTATGAATGACTGTACTGTAATAACAAAAATTCCCATCAGGGGGCTACTCGTTGCTTGGAGATCACCCCTTCCTCTTCTCCTCTGCGGCTCACTGACCTGTCCAGTGAAGAGGACGATGCGAGAGGCGTAATTGGCAAATATGAGAGAAAAATTGAAAGTCTAATGTCAGAGGTTGACTGTATAAAAAATGAGGTATGGATTGTAAATAATCATGACTATAAGATGGATTCACGTCGAACAACATTGTGGATTTGAATGTTAAAATCTTCACAGGTACGGTTACGGCAGACAGAGGACCACTTAAAGCACCAGTCACAGCAGTCGAGTGCCTGTCGGCATTTGATTGATCAGCATGAGGAAAGACTCGAAGAAGCCAGTAAGGACTTGAGGAGGTCAAAGCGCGAGAATGCTGATCTACGTAGCACTGTAGATGGGACGCAGGCGGAGTCTGGACATATGAGGTATAGTTCTTTCAGATTTATTTGACACATGAGTTTTTTTTTTTGGTTGTGGCCTAAATGCTTAAAATGTATGATTTATGTGGGCAGATCAGAAATAGGACCTCCATATCAGGAGATGGAAACTTTGCTGAGGAAACTGGTGGAAGCTGAGATAGACGGCCAGGCTGTAGCCAAAAAAGTGACAGCTCTGAGGGAAACCGTAGGCAAACTTAAGAAGGTAAGAAGGTTGCCAAACTCCAAACTTTGCAATTACCTCTGAAATCCTTTCTCTTGAAAAAAAAAACACTTTGTGTATTCAGGACAAAAAACAGTCAAAGACACACTCTGATCAGTTGGGTCGTCAACAGGAGCTACTAGAGCAAAAGTTAGACACGTTTGTGGAGACAAATCGCACTCTCAGACGGCTTTTGAGGGAACAGCATGGACGGGAGGTACAAAAAAAACTTCCGTTAAACTAAATTTGTGTCATATTTGGGTTGGCTGTTGGTTCTGCAGTATTGTGTATATGCACTTTTTTTGTAAACAAAAAAAAAAAGTTTGTTTCGTCTGACCCTTTCACCACAGACAGATGCACTGAGGTTGTCTGATGAGAGGGAGATGCTAATGAGAAAACTAGCTGATTCTGAGGCTGAGAAAAGGGTTTGTAAACTAACACCAACATTTTTTGCTCTCTTTCTCTCTCTCTCTCTCTCGCTATATACAGTGTGTATATATATATAATATATATATATATATATACAAACACATTGTTATATTGTCATTTATATTTAGTCATAGGCAGATTTGCAATATCTTTAGTTGATTGGAACTTCTTAATTATTGCCCTGAAGGTGGAAATGGGGATTTTCAATGCTTTAGCTATTTTCTTACAGCCACTTTCTATTTTGTGAAGCTCAACAACCTTGTTCTGCACATCAGAACTGTATTCTTTGGTTTTACTCTTTGTGATGTATGATTAAGGCAATTTGGCCTTTGTGTTCCTCATATTTATAATCCCATGGAACAGGCAGTCATGGCTGAACAATATCATGCTCCTAGTCACCCTGGTGTGCAAAAAAAATTGAAATATGAATGGGTTATATACTTCTAGTGGTGTCAATAATTGAGGCCAACATGCATTGGAGAAAAACATTTATTTCATAATGTGAGTTCCCCCCACTATCAATTGTTTTACTTCTATGATAGGTTAGAATTTTATGATTTTTTTTTTTTGAATGAAAGATTTGCAGATTTATTTTCACAGATGCCTTTGCTCATATTTAACAAGGGTGCCAATATTAGTGGAGGGCACTGTATATAATAATGTTGTGAGCTCGATACACATACATTTTATTCAAAAAGTATGCGTTACATTGATCTAAAGTGGCAGTAAAGACTTATTTTACAAAACAAAATGTCTATTTGTAAAAATAAATGCTGAACTTTTTATTCATCACAGAATCCTGAAAAACATTGTTTCAGGGTTTCTAGAAAAACCATTAAGCAGCACAACAGTTTTCAACATTGATAATAATTAAAAATGTTTTTCAGGCACCAAATCGGTTGTCACAGGAAAAAAATTTATATTTTAGAATACATTAAAACAGAAAACAGTTATTTTAAATGGTTATAATATGTCACAATATTTCTGTTTTTACAGTATTTTTGATCAAATAAATGCAGCCTTAATGAACAAATGAGAGTTTTTAAAAACTTCATTTTAAAGACTTTAAATTTTTTCTTAAGCCATTTAGAAATACTTTGTTGATAGTATTATAGTAACGTTCTCTTTTAGAAACTTGAGACTAAACTCAACAACAGAGAAAGAGCGGCCAATCAGATGGCTGAGAATTTGGAAAATGAAAAGGTAATAATTATATCTCACTAATTCTCTTATTTTTCTATTCATTTGTGTAACATTCCTCTATGACATGTTTTAATACCTCTTCTGCATTTCTAAATACTTGCATATAGTGAATTTGCATCAGACCTGTGTTGCAGGTGATTTTTATAGAAGGTGTTTTGTTATTGTCATCACAGGAGCATCTGAGGACTGCAGGAGAGCTGTCAAAGGTTCTTGAATCCACCCGCAGTCGCTTGCAGAATCAGCTGCACAAGAAAGAAGCTGAAAATAATCGGCTGGAGGCTCAGATTCAAGTAACCCTACTTGGATTTTTACCTTAGTCGTGGTTTTCATTGACGTAAAGTGGAACATCATGTAAGTATGTACTGTACTGTGGCACAGAGGCTGGAAGGGACACTGCAGCATCAACAGGAGGAGGTGCAAGGCCTGCTGGAGCAGATGAGAGAGTTGAAGCAGCACTGTGAAGGAGACAGAGACGTCCACAAACAGACCTTGGAGGACCAGAGGAAACAGGCTGAACAAAGTGTGAATACAGCTGCACAGCTCTCTGCACAACTCCTGGACAAGGTACTGTACAGAAGAACAATAAATGAACTGTGCTACAGGGTTTCATAAAATTCATAGAAAGATTCTGTAGACCTTCGTGGTTTACAAAGTGCTAATTGCTTAAATAATTCTCCAAAAGTCCTTTATTTTAATATGGCACTGCTGGCTCATGTATTCACTTAACTGGACATTGTCTCACATTTTACAGTTTGTTTGAAAGACTGATTTTTATGCAGTTGGCCAGTATGAACCAAGCGGTGCAAACTCTGACTGGTGTGTTTCTGTCATCTCTTCAGGAAGCTCAGTTAGCAGAGGCTCTCTCCACTGCTGAGGAGCTTCGGCAGCGTTACTCCAAACAGAACAGAGAGAAAAACCAGCTGGAGTTGGAGATCATTACCTTAAATAAGTCAGAGACTCTTTCTTCATTTGCTTTAAGTGTTCACTGAAGCTCAGCCAAACATGTTTTTTTTACCCAGTACTCATTACCACCTTGAGCATTTTACTCAATTTACTTTATCCATATTATCTTTATCTTTACTTCATCCATTCATTCTTTTTAGCATAATATATTACATTTTACCATATTACATTAAAATACATTTAAACAATGATCTTTAAGATGATAATTTTTATTACAGTTTAAAATAACTTTAAAATGTCATTTATTCTTGTGACGGCAATGCTGAGTTTTCAGCAGCCATTACTCCAGTCTTCAGTGTCTCATGATCCTTCAGAAATCATTATAATATGTTGATTTTGTGTTCAAGAAACATTTCAGATTCAATGTTAAACAGTGCTGCTTAAAGGGTTAGTTCACCCAAAAATGAAAATTCGGTCATTAATTACTCACCCTCATGTCGTTTCAAACCCGTAAGACCTTCGTTCATCTTCGGAACACAAATTAAGATATTTTGGATGGAATCTGAGAGCTGTCTGACCCGGCATAGACAGCAACCCAACTGAAATATTCCCAAGTCCAGAAACGTAGCAAGGAGATCTGTAAAATAATCCACGTGACATCAGTGGTTCATCCGCAAATATACGAAGCTACGAGAATACTTTTTGTGCACATAAGAAAAAAAAATAACAACGACTTTATTCAACAATTCGTCTTGCTGTTTACGTCCAGCGGATACTCTCCAAAATGGCGCTACAGGGTGATGCGGAGGAGATGAATTGTTGAATATAGTCGTTTTTTTTTTCTTTTGCGCACAAAAAGTATTCTTGTCGCTTCGTAAAATTACGGTTGAACCGCTGATGTCACATGGATTATTTTACAGACCTCCTTGCTACGTTTATGGACTTGGGAACATTTCAGTTGCGTTGCTGTCTATGCAGGGTCAGACAGCTC